CGGCAAGGTGTCTATCTAGCCTCCTTTTGAAGACCCCCAGGGTAGGAGTGAGCACCGCTTCCCTTGGAAGTTGGTTCTAATTCCTAGCTCTCCTGACTGTGAAGTAGTGCCTTCTGATATCTAGCCAAGAATCTACTCTCCGTCAACTTATGGCCGTTATTCCTTGTTACTCCTGGTAGTGCTCAGGGGAACAGGGACTCTCCCATTGCCTGCTGGTTTCCCTTGGCCAGTTTATAGATGGCCACCAGATCCCCTCTCAGCCTTCTCTTGTGAAGGCTGAACAGGTTCAGGTCGCGTAGCCTCTCCTCGTAGGGCCTGCCCTGCTGCCCCCTGATCATGCAAGTGGCCCTCCTCTGGACCCTCTCGATGTTGTCCACACCCCTCTCGAAGTGCGGTGCCCAGAACTGGACGCAGTACTCCAGCTGTGGCCTGACCAATGTCATATAGAGGGGGAGGATCACCTCCTTGGACCTGCTCGTGATGCATCTGTGGATGCGTGACAAGGTGCGGTTAGCTTTCCTGACTGCGTCCCCACATTGACGGCCCATGTTCATCTTGCAGTCAGTAGTGACTCCAAGATCCTTTTCTGCCACTGTGCTGACGAGAAGGGAATTCTCCAGCCTGTAGGTATGCTGCTGGTTCTTCCTCCCTAGGTGCAGTACCCTGCACTTGTCAGTATTGAATCTCATCTTATTCTCATCCGTCCACCCCTGTAAACTGTCCAGATCCAATTGCAGCCTGTCCCTCCCTTCTAGCGTGCCCACTTCTCCCCACTTCTTAGTGTCATCTGCGAATTTGAACAAAGTGTTTTTCACCCCCTCGTCCAAGTTGCTGATGAAGATGTTGAACAATGCAGGCCTGAGGACCAAGCACTGGGGGACCGCACTTCCCCCATCCCTCCAGGTCAAAATGACCTGTGCAGCCCTTCAGCCAATTGGCGACCCATATAACTATGTAGCCATTGACACCACAGTCTCCTAATTTTTTTACGAGAATGGGGTGAGAGAGAGTGTTGAAGGCCTTCCTAAAGTCTAGAAAGACTACGTGCACCGCAACACCTGCGTCCAAGGATTTTGTGACCTGGTCATAGAAGGCCACCAGGTAGGTCTGATAGGACCTGCCTTTAATGAACCAATGTTGGTTGCCCCTAAGCATGATCTCCCCTGCTGGTCCCTCACAGATGTGCACCTGGATAATTTTCTCAAACAGCTTCCCCAGGACCGAGGTAAGACTAACAGGCCTATAATTTCCTGGGTCCTCCTTCCTCCCGTTTTTGAAAAGTTACCTTTCACAACTAGAACCTCATCCGTTCATTTAACATTTTCCATTTTAATGTCCTTTACATCTGGATGATAAATTGAACTATTTAATTGAATAACTTGTGCTTTGCACACCTCTTATGTAGATGAACATGTTTATCAGGCTACCAGGTACGTAGGTAGATAGGCATCTGTCTGTTTTACAAGACTGGATTTGTGCTAAATGAGGCATCAGCTCATTGAATATCTGCAAGTGTGGCTGTAGAGTCCAGTTCTTGAATGACTGTCTGCTTTGGATCTCAAAAGCTTCAGATTTTGCTCTATCAGAGTTGATTGTTCCCCATATTCTGTCATGAAAAGTAGATTATGCTGGTGAATTTTGATGGACAACCATTCTTTTTTTTCCAGCAACTTTGAAGAACCCTTTTCTGCCGATAAAGGCGAAGGCCTTGGTCAGGTCAATGAAGGTGATTTATAAAGGGGTCTTCTGTGTTCCCTACATTTTTTTTTCTTGGATTTTTTGGAGTGAGATCATATCTATGGTGGACTTACTAGCTCTGAAGCTTTGCTGTGACACTGTAGACAGGCAGCAAGGATGTTCCACCTACTGAGCACTACCCAAATGATGATCTTTTCGACAATGCTTAATAGCGAAATGCTACCATTTGTTGTTAGTCACTGCAGTCTACTTCTATTCTTGTTCAGAGTGACCAAACTAGCATTTTGGCTATCTTTGTGGCACTGTTGCTACTGTCCAGCAGTGAATAAGAGGCTCATATAGATGGGGAAGAAGCACAGGTTTTCTGCGCTTGATGACTTTGGAGTCAAACCTGATGATTCACAATGAAAACGTTAGCATTGTTAGTTGTGATAGGCATTAAATTCTGACACTTCATGAAGAGACTTAGTACTTGAGGCAAAAATTTCTCTTCATTTCTAACCTGGATGCCACACCCCCCCCCCCCCAAAACACAAACAAAAACAAAAAAACCCCAACCTATGCAACTCAACATAGATTACTGATAGGTGCCTGATTGGAAGTAGTGGAGCCAGGTTCACGTGGCTCCAGGGGCTGGTTAATGGTGAGTTTGTGGCAAAGCAGGGTAGTATGTTAGGTGCTACTCTTGCCCACAGAGTAGGCCCTTATCCACAGAGTGGTCAAGGTCCTTATCCCTATGACATTTCCAGCAAAAGGCTCTTGTTTTCTGAAAAAAATTTCCATACAAAATTTTATATCTTGTCTGTTCACAGGCTGCTTTGGCAAAAAT